TACATGTACGTTTCAGCCGCTAAAAATAAAAAACCCAACAAACAAAAACTAAATTTCCATCCTCAACTACCCATCTCCTCAATTATACAATTCAATGACCCTTTAAGTCATACTGTATATACTGCAAGCTGTATCACTGAACATTTTCAGTTAAAAGTAAAATTCAGATAGAAAGTTTAAGACCGGTTTGTGTGTTCAAATTTTAGTGATCTACTTATATCCCACCCTCACATATGGCTGCTCAAGCACAACTGTTAAGAGACAGGAAACAGTCTTCTACAAGGCAGGAATTTCTGTCAACTGTAACATCAGAGCTAGAACACAGGAATCTATAGCCTGCATAATGCTGAATAAACAGCTTAAGGAAAAATAAACTGAAAACTACTGGATTTACAGACATCAGCTAATTTACTTTTGCCAATACACAACAAGCTAGGACACAACAGAATATGTCCAATGCATTCTAAAATACATCAGCAACAAAATACATCAGCAACAAACCTATCATTGTCAGTAAAAACCAACTTAGTTTATGAAAGAACAGAATCTGTTTTAAAAAAAAAAAATCTTTTCCCACGAAACAAAAAGTAACAACTAGTAAATTTAATTCAAAATAGACGAAGTATTTCCTATACTTACACTCCTTTTAGCTCAATGTAAATGAATAACTATTAGAAAGGGCTGAATTGCTTAAAGAACGAGTGGAGGGATACATTAATAGGTATCAACTGACACCCAATATGCCCATAATAATGTTAAGAGTCTCAGATGTCATGTACAACATTCTGCAAAGCTGCAGCATTGCAGTTTTAGTACTTTCCTCAGCAATTTAACCTTTTTTTCCCCTTAGCAAATTTCCCTATTTTTCCTTTTCCAAAATCAAAACTTTTTATCACCGTCTTTGCAGATCACAGATTCACCAGAATGAGGTGCATTTCCACATCTGTTGGGGAATTAGAATTAGGATTGATAGGTAAATATCTACATAATGCTCAAGTAGATAGCAATTTCTCTGTTGACTTCACTGAGCATGAATATCCTCCTATCAACAGGAAACATTCGGCTGTTTCTGTACACATATCAGTTTACAGCACTACATCAACATCTAG